AATTCAGAAACCAAGATTTGTATTTTTGCTTCATACTTCTATTTTCGGTTGGACCTAATTGATGTATCCATGCTCCACCCACAAATGCCTAGATTGGTGGATAGGTTGGCTTTAGAACTGTTAAAGAGGATCCATAGTCTCCAGGACAAGAACGTGAGGGTTAAACTTGTCTCAGTGGTGTTTTGGCTCTTCAGGAATGCAGTTTTGACATCGCCGTCATTATCACTTTCAGCTATCACTAACCAGGCTGACCTTAGCACAATGATGCTTTGGACCACCTGTGTGTAGTGATTTGTCTACAGCCTGATGCTCAGAGGAGTCAGAGTGAGTCAGAGTGATCTGCTTCTGAAGCTCTGTTTGTAAATATTGAAGTGGCTGATGTTGAAGACGAGCTTTTCAGTCTCATAATCCACCAACTACTGAACTGGTTAGTTGAAAATAGATTAAAACAGAGCTGAGCAAGCTTTGTTAACCTTCATTCCTGATGTGACTCTGACTTTTAGGTACAGATGGATCCTAAATAACTTTAACAATTTGTCAAAAAGTCAAATTTAGTTTGTATTTTGGCTACGTTACACCAAATGTAGTCAATCAGACGAGACCTCTTTAGCATCTGAAGTTTGCTTCTTTTTACACTGGAACTACGAGGCTAATGTAGCTAAGAGGAATTGAAACTGAATATGTATTGTACTCAATGACGTTCTTGTAGACAGTGTGTTCTTGCAGACAGGCTGGAGTCTCTCAGACAGTGAGAGAGTGTAATGAATACACAGGGGGAAAAGGCAGTGGCTCATTACTTAAACAGCAGTGTAATTAGAGACTGAGAGCAGTGCTTTGTTGGGTTTATAAAAGCTCAGAAGTCAGTTAGGTTCTATTCAGTTACAGTTCTTTGGGCAATGATTCAGGGATTGATAAAATCTCAAATTTAGCATCAGTCAGATGTCTCATTTAGCACCAACCATGTCCCATTCAACACCTGTTTTGTCTCCTTCAACACCTACTTTCTCATTCCAAACCAACCATGTCCCATTCCACATCTGTCATGTCCCATTCCACACTACCTTGTCAAATTCCACAGGTACCATGTCCCATTACACACCTACCTTGTCCCATTCCACAGGTACCATGTCCCAATACACACCTACCTTGTCAAATTCCACAGGTATCATGTCCCATTCCACGCTACCTTGTCAAATTCCACAGGTACCATGTCCCATTACACACCTACCTTGTCTCATTCCACAGGTGCCTTGTCCCCGTCTACACATACCATGTCGCATTCCACACCAACCCTGGCCCACTGCTCACCAACCATGTCCCATTCCCCACCAACCATGAACTATTCCACTCCAACCATATCCCATTCCACCGCCATCATATCCCATTCCACACTAACCATGTCTTGTTTCTCACTTACCGTGTCCCATTCCACACTTACCGTGTCCCATTCCACACTTACCGTGTCCCATTCCACACTTGCCGTGTCCCATTCCACACTTGCCATGTCCCATTCCACACTTACCATGACCCATTTCCCACCAATCATTTCGTTTCTCACCTACCATGTCCCATTCCCCACCAACCATGTCCCACTGCCCACCAACCATGTCCCATTCCACATCAGCCATGTCCTATTCCACACCTGCATATCCCATTCCACACCAAAAGTTGGCAGTTTTTCAATGTAAATGTGCTGCTCAGCCATGTTGTGTGTTGCTCATGGACAGCAACCAAAAGAATAACGCTTGAGAGAATCTGAAAAGGCGTTGCCTGAACGCCCCCTGTACTCTCTTAGACAGGCTGTTTAACCTGCTCTTTTCGTTATTAGCTCACTCAGAGCCCGTTTATGACCCTCAGGCTGTGAGGCAGATTAGTGTGTGAATCTGCACAAACTCGCTTCTACTCACATCCCAAAACACCATCTGCCCTTCCACTCTAGTGTCTCCTAACCAGCTCCTGTATTACCTGCACACTTCTAGCTATTCCCCAGCTGATAATGAAGCTCTTACTGAGCTGGATCAGGAATGTTCAAGCAGGGAACAAGTGAAACTGTGCAGGTCTGCAGGAGATACACCGACTACATTTGCAACTGCACAATAGCATGAATAGGTTCTTAGTTTGTCTAGAAATGGACCGGAACCAAGATATTTACAAGACAGCTCCATTATAATTCTGTATACATGCATGCTTTATAATATGAATGCTTTATAATGCTTTATAATGATGCACCCAAATTCCACTGATTTTATTATTCCTTCCGTGTCATTCAGAGTGGTTTGGTGTGAAATGGTTGATTGTAGAGACTCAGATGTCTTTACAGTGGTGGTGATAGGAACCAGGGGTACCAGGGAACCACCAGTGAACCTACATGAGTCTTCTGAGTTTTATATGTAACATTAATGATGATAAAATAGTGAAAAATCTGAAAAATAAGTTTTCTTTGGGGACTGTTTTGCCTCACTACACCCTGCATGTATCCCTCCATGAATGTGTGTATAAGTACATTGAGATCAGAGGTTGTTCTCTGATCTACACTGTAGTCTTACTGTGACTGTAACTCTATAGAGTGAGTGATATTCCAGCTAATAGACTGATAGAGAAAGAGCAGACTTTGTTCTCATTAGTAGCATTAACTGATAGTAATAGATCAGAGAGAGAGAGAGAGAGAGATAAAGAGAGGGGAGGTGAGAAAGCGGGAGAAAGAGAGAGAGGGGGCAGAGGAGAGAGGGGAGAAAAAAGAGCGAGAATGGGAGAAAGAAAGGAGATAGATATGTAAGAGAGAGACCATGGGGGAAATAAAGAGGAGTGAGAGAGACATAGAAGAGAGAAACCATGGGAGAAAGAAAGTAGAAAGCAGGACAATGGGGAAAGAAAGAGAATAGGAGAAAGAAAAGAGGTAGAATGAAAGAATATGAGAAAGAAAAGAGAATGTAGAGAAAGAAAGGAGAGAGAAAAACTGAAGAAAGAGAGATGCAATGGGAGAAAAGAAAGAACGAGAGAGAGAGAGAGAGAGAGAGAGAGAGAGCAAATGGGGAAAGAAAGATAGAGCAGAAAGAAATGAGAGAAACAGAGCATGGAGAGAAAAGGAGAGAATGGGAGAAAGAAAGGAGAGAGAAAAACAAAAAATAGAGAGACAATGAGAAAAGAAAAAAGAGATAGAGGAGAAAGAAAGGAAGGAAAAATAGAATGGAAAGAAATAGCGAATGGAGAGACAATAGGGAAAAAAAGGAAAGATAGAAGAAGGAGAATAGGAGAAAGCAAGGAGAGAGAAAAAAGCAGAAGAGAGAGAGTTTAAGAGAACTGAGTCACCCGTGTGTTGGGTGACTACGTGATTACGTTTGAGATATGAAAACTGTGTAAAATTTATTTATTTATTTATTTATTTATTTATTTATGCCAATCTGTCACTTCAAAGAACACAAGCTTTCCTATTCAGCCCTATTCAGCAGTATTTCTGTCCCTCATTCATTAAGACTCTCTCTCTCTCTCTCTCTCTCTCTCTCTCTCTCTCTCTCTCTCTCTCTCTTTTTCGTTGGTCAGGATGATTCAGGAGTTCGTGTTCTGTCTTTCACAAATCACTGTGTATAACTGTGTATAACTGTGTGTTTGTTTATGTGTACATTCCTCTGCGTGCGTGTGTGTGTGTGTGTGTGTGTGTGTGTGTGTGTGCGTACACACGGTGAGATGTGAAGTGGATAAGGAAGTGCAGATACAGGCTGACTCAGCACTAATGTCCCCTTACACATCAGTGAGTTTATTCAGGAGGGCTTGAGGGGCCTGGGGGTGGTGGGGTGGGGGGGTGATGGTGATGCAGATGGTTATGATGGTGATTTTTATTATAGTGTTGAATGTGATGAAAGTGGCATGGATCATAATGATTATAGACACAGTAATGAGATTATGGTGATGATGGCGATGATGATGATGATCATAGTGATGATGGTAATAGATGCCTGTGATGCTCATGTTGTTTGTGATGGTGATACAGATGGTTATGATGGTGATTTTTATTATAGTGTTGAATGGGATGAAAGTGGTATGGATCATAATGATTATAGACACAGTAGTGAGATTATGGTGATGATGGCGATGATGATGATGGTGGTAATGATGATGCCTGTGATGCTCATGTTTGTGATGGTGATGCAGATGGTTATGATTGTGATTATTTTAATGATTATTGTAATGATGGTTGAGATGGTGATGTTGACGCTTATGATGGTGATTCTCATTATAGTGTTGAATGTAATGAAAGTGGTGAAGATCATAGTGAGAATAGAAACAGTTATGATATGATCATGGTGATGATGATGGTTATAGTGATGGTGATTATTTTGAAGATTATGGTAATGATGTTTGTGATAGTGATGTTGACAGTTATGATGGTGATTTTATTAGAGTGTTGATTGTGATGAAAATGGTAGGGATTATGATGATAATAGAAACAGTAATAAGGTTATGGTGATGATGGAAATGATGATAGTGTTGATTCTAGTGATTATGGTAATGAAGATGCTTGTGATGGTCATGATATAGATGGTGATGTTGAAGGTTATGATGGTGATTATTGTGATTATGGTCATGGTGGTGATGATGATCAAGAAGGTGATAATGTTTGTGAAGATAATACTGTTAGTAAAGATGGTGATGATTTTATTATAGTGATGGTGGTGATGGAAATGATAGTTTGGATGATGGTGATCATTACAGTAATGATGATGGCTGTGATTTGTGATTACAGTGATGATGGTAGAAGTCATGACAATAATTGGCGATAATGGTAAAAAATATAGTGGTGATTATGATCATGATTGTGGCAATACTGATAAATCTGATTACGGTGGTGGTGATGATAGTTAACCTCTTGAATGGAACCTCAGTGATTCCTCACTCCTATATGAGTCAGTCAGTTTGATTTGAATTGTATCCATAGATTTGCTGAATAAAGCCTTAGGATGTAATAAGAGTTTAAGATGATGATGGTGATGATGATCTTCCAGGTGCACCTGCAAACACAACAGGAGGTAAAGATGAGGATGGTTGGCATGGCGATGCATGTGGTGAAGAATGACGGCGTGCTGGCTCTCTACAACGGCCTCAGCGCCTCTCTGTGCAGACAGGTGAGTGTGTACCTCTGGATTCAGGTAAAAGGATATCAGTTTGTAGATAAAATTGATTAATTGTAGTATTATTATTTTTATTATTATTAATCTCTCTCTCATACGCACAATACTTAGATAATATCCTGCTATCGCTGATAGCAGTTGAGCAATTTAAAACATCAAAGTCGCAGACCATAAAGCCATGAATGTTGATGGCCAGTGCCTCATGATTATGGTTCCTCAGCTCCGGTGTCCATTATCATTATTATTATTACAGTCTTTATTATTATCATTAGTCCTTCCTCCTTGATCTGGAATAGAGAGAGAGCTTGAACTCTTGCGAGGAGAGGGTTGAAAACTGAGGGTTTGAGCTCCAGCCCCCTCTAGTGGCCGTATTTGCACGTTGCATATGAGAGAAATCACTGGTCAAACTTTAAGTGTCTCTTATAACTGTGTAGTTACATGTGAACAACATATGCTGCAACAATGTAACTACTAATAATTTTTGTCAGTGTTACAGATGGATTATAGAAGTCCACCTTATGTGATTACACATGTATATCAACTTCAGTTTCACCTCATGTAATTACACAAGGGTAATAACACAAATGTAATTACATTTGTAATCAGACTGGAACAGCATTTTTTTTCCAGCAGTAAAAGGAAGTATCTAATAACATACATTGACATTACCTACACTGTATCTGCCAGCTTTCCTAACATTTAGCTAGCATTTATGTTGCTAGTGCTGTGACACTGTAACCAGTTTCAGCTTGTTATGTGATTAGGTGACCTTGTTACAACACAGTTATTCCACAGTAATTATGTAAAACATAAATGTATTGTTATGTAATTGTAAACATACTTCCTTTAACTGCTGGAAACGACTTCTGATCTGCAGTGTTTCAAAAAGATACACTTGTGTAATTACATGAGGCAAAACTGAAGTTGATACACATGTAATTACATAGGTTGTAGTTCTGTAATCCATCTCTAACATTGGCTAAATCATCAGTAGTTACAGTGTTGTTGCATATGTTATCCATGCGTAACTACCTGTTATTAGCGACACAATATAAAGTGGGACCAAATCACTTGGTAAAGTTGGACACCATGATCAGCAACATATGTGTTATAGATGATGTATCAATACCAAATACAAATACTGCTCAAATACAGTATTGGTATCAGCCATAGAGAATAACGATACCGTGAAGCTGTTTGCATGCTTACCTGTTCACAGACTAAAGCAAGCAATATGTCAGCAGGGTGGGATTGTTTTACATTTCAGACTCTCTCTCTCTCTCTCTCTCTCTCTCTCTCTCCCTCCCTCTCTCTTTCTCTTTCTCCATAGATGTCGTACTCTCTCACCAGGTTTGCCATCTATGAAACTGTCCGAGATATGATGGGCAGTCAGGGGCCCATGCCCTTCTACCAAAAGGTGCTGCTGGGAGCGTTTGGAGGTAACATGCATGCACGTACACTTACACGATGGTTATAGTGGTTATACATTTTCTTTTTTTAAAGGGGGGTGGGGGGTGGAGGTGGGACCTGCTGCCATCAGAGATCTGTGAGAGAGAATCCTTCCTCTCCCCCAAACAGAGCAGGGCAAAAGCTCACAGTCATTATTCAGCTCATTCAGAGATGTAGTATTTAATAAAATAATAAAATAGATATATTACTTTATTATTAGTTTTTCCAATTCAAAACATCAAACACACTGACCATAAAGCCATAGACGCTGACGGTCAGTGCTTCATGTTTATGGTTCCTCAGCTCTGGTGTCAAAGTCCTCAGCTCAGTTTACTCAGTTTACTACACTCCAATTCAGACCATTATTATTATTAGCAGAGGGTTTAAAACTGAGAGTTTGGTTCACCAGGGATAGTTGTTGTATGAGTGCCCCCTCTAGTGGCTGTATTTGTAATTGCATGAGAGAAATCTCGTCGTAAAGTTGGACAGTTTTTATGGGCCGATCAGAACTTAGATAACTTTAATTTTTGCATATTCAGATTTTATTCTTCAATAGGTTTTGATTTTGGGTGGAAAAAAAAGGTAAATGTGTTTATCAGTTAATAACGTTAGCAACCAAGCCAAAGAGCCAATCAGCTTTCATTTAATTTACATCTGAAACTGATTTTGAACATACATTGATTTCTGTGAACTGTGGTAACTGCTATGAGAGCTTGGCGAGCATCAACAAATTACATTGCAAATGGCAATGACCGGGGTCCAAGCACTGTTCGCCTTAATATTGCCTTTAGAATGATGGCCAAAGTTTTTAATGGTCTTCATTTATAATAGATGTGGAGTCTCAGAAAATGTTTTCTAAAATCCCATACATATTGGCCTTTTGGTATGGTACGCAACACATTTTTTAACAAATAAGTCACTTTTTGGAATTCGAATATTTGAAGGTGATTTGTTTTTGTAGAACTGAACTCAACAAAATATTCCCCTTTTACTCTAATATTTTAGTCTCAGAATATACAACAGTTTTAAACAGTAGTAAAACCATTACAGTTTTCTCCAAGAAACATTGTCTTTGATTTGTGTACTGTTACCTTATTCACTGTTCATTTCTTTCCATGTCTGATCTGAAGGGTTCACTGGAGGATTCATTGGGACACCAGCGGACATGGTTAACGTCAGGTGCGCTAACATAACTGCATGTACTTATGCTTGTCTTCACTAAGTCAGCCTGCTTCTGATCCATTTATTAAATGCCTGGAATTGTGTGCAGCAAGCCGTCGGCAGTATTGCACAGTTAACAGTACATATTAGGGTCATATACTGTATATTGTGCATATTTGTGAACTCATGAGTTATTGTTGTTGTTTAGGATGCAGAATGACATGAAGCTGCCCCCCGAACTCAGGAGAAAGTAAGCTTGTCCTCTACACTCTGTAGCCATTGCCTGCCTTTGAGTTTCGCAGCACTGTCACAAGCCACACATCTGCCTCTCATTGTTTTTCTCACTTAACATGGCCAAGAACCGCTTACCTTATCTAGAAAGGGCCTTTGATTGATATGCAAACTGACTGATCACAGAGTGTTTTTGCACAATTTTCAAAATATGCAACAAGAACTGAACTATGTGAAGCCAACATGTGAGGATTTCCTACTTACTACTCACTAAAAACCTTTTTTTCAAATCCAACACTGTACATCTGTACGTAGAGCAGGAAACTCCCTCCCATTTGACTGACAAACAATGGTGCACAGACGTCCATAATAATAATTATAAACAACTTCCCTTTAAAAGGCCTTAGTAAGTTGAATTTTCACATTAGAATTCAATGTTTTACATTTAAAATTTTATTTATTAGAATAAAAACTACAACGCCTTGCCATAAAAAACACAAACCACGTGCCAAAGCTTCAGGGAAGGTTGGCGACTGTCTCCATCATCCCAGTCCATCTTTAGATGGGCCTTTTATACAATTTTACTTGAGAGATTTGATTTTTACTCCATTATATTTCATTATACAGATCACCAGGAAAAATCCTGTATGTATTTACTTTGTAAATAAAGGTTCTGTTTTTAAATGCTTAATTATCTGAACTGAGTTAATGTTTGTATCTGTTTTTGTCAGCTACAAACATGCACTGGATGGACTGTTCAGAGTGTGGCAAGAGGGTGAGTGCAGCTTCTCTTGTGTTCTGACTGTGTCTGCATGATTTCTTTAATGGACCAGAGTTGTGCTCCCCTGATGTAAACAGTAGCTGGAATTTTCAAATTATGGAAAAAAAAAAATTGGAAATAAAGGTTTTGTTCTGATTGCTACATTATGCTTCTTGACGTCATGATTTATAATAAGGTTCATGACTGCAACTCCTGGAAGTTGTAATCCAGTCTTACACTCATATTAAACTTGATCACAACTGATTTGGGATAACTGCTGTTTGGGGAACACAACAGAAAAATGGAATAGAATTGAGTTCAGTTGACCTAAATTAAACTGACCTAAATGGAATATAACTGAACCAAAAGGAACGGAATTGATTAGAAAGGAATTAATTGGAAAGCAGTGGAATTGAGTTTAGTTGAATTGAGTTAAACTAAACTGAAAGGAATGTAATTAGACTGAATGGAAGGGAATAGACTTGAATGAACTGAAATGCAATGGAATTGATTTTAGGAGAGTTCGGTTAAACTGATCTGAATGGATTGTGGTTGAAAGGAATGTTATTGAACTGAATGGAATGTAAGTGAATTGAAAGGAATAAATTGGAATGGGCTGGAATGTGGTTTAATTGAATTAGGTTAAACTGAACTGAATGGAATGTAATTGAATGGAATAGAATTGAATGAATTGGAATGCAATGGAATTGATTTTAGGTGAATTTGGTTAAACTGAACCAAATGGAATGTGATTGAATGGAACGTAATTGAACTGAATGGAATGCAAATGGAATGGATTGGGAAAGAATAGAATGGAATATAAACCTGTTTGGGGGAAAAAGCTGTAGACAAATAAAACAGACTTAAATTGAAAAGCTGATTTTTTGTCTTTCTCTCTGCCAGAGGGAACCAGGAAGTTGTTCTCCGGAGCCACCATGGCGTCCAGTCGAGGAGCTCTGGTCACTGTAGGACAGGTGAGACGTTTGATGCATTATATAGGATTATTCCCTATTGAGATCAAGCATAAGGAAATATACATGAATACAAGATGCCTGATAACGTAACTATTGAACCTCTCTCTCTCTGTCTGTAGCTGGCGTGCTATGACCAGGCCAAGCAGCTCGTCCTGAGCACAGGAATGATGGGAGATAACATTTTAACTCACTTCCTGTCCAGCTTCATTGCTGTGAGTGTTGCTTAATCAGCAACTCGTCTGATTGGATAGTTCTCATAAATGTGTCTGCTTTAGATCACGTTTAATCATTTAGCAGCAGAACTGTATCATACAGTGAAAATATGCTTATTATTCGTATCATAAATCCGATCTGTTGAATCTTAAGAGTGAAGCTTTTTTAAACTAAAGCTAAACAGTAGAAAGCAGTAAATCAGTCAGGTCCTCAAAACACTTTCATTTCTGCTCCCTTTCTACTTTATGGATGCAGAAATAATGTTTAATCTGAATATGATTATGGGCTTGAATTCTGTAAATGAAAGTGGTACAGTTGTGCCCTCTAGCGGTTACGCTTGTGTATTACACCTTAGTGGTGGTGATAGTATTACACCAAGAATGTTTACATGGTACATGTATTTCATGTTTTCGCTCCTTCTCTCTCTCTTTAAGGGAGGATGTGCTACGTTTCTCTGTCAGCCACTGGATGTGCTGAAGACACGACTAATGAACTCTAAAGGAGAGTATAGAGTGAGTGTCTCTCTCTTTTTCTCTCATCCTTTCTTTTAACCATCTCTTTTAAAGTGCTCCTACTTAATGGACCACACGAGCCACATTTACATGCAGCCTAATAATTCCTTAATAATCTGACTAATAGCTCAATTGGAATAGAATACGTCCATGTAAACACTTCAATCTGACTAGCCCAGTTGAGGCTGTTCGGAATACAGTTTCTATCTGATTGATCCGATTGGGTAATCCTGTAAATAATCCGTTAAATAGAAGAATAATATCGCCTGTATCTGATTACATTCCCTATCGGAAAGTTCAAGTACGTTCTGATCATGTGCGGCGCGTCATAGTGAAAGTTTATAACGGGTAAACTGGTCTGCAGAGGAGGCGAAGTTTATGCTCTGATCTTTAAAAGACGGCGGTGGGACGGACGTCCAGCTTATGTGTCTCGGAACACGACGTCTTCCTCTCGGCCTTCTTTAATAAGGACATGTGAAGTACGTTTTCCTGAGTCTGACATCATTTTAAAGTCAATTAAAAACACAAGCACTGCTCACTGCTGCTCATCTCACTCTGACTGGACTCACGTGATGCTTGTTGTCATGGTAACGTCTACACTAAGTGGTTCTCTATGCATGCATGTAATTCTGGATCAGATTACTTGTAGTGAGCATGTAAACAGAGATTTTTCATCAGATTGTTGAGTAGAGTGAGCGATAAACACCTCAGGCTTCATCTATAATTGGAATGTATTAAATAGAATTGGCAAAAATCTCTGCATGTAAACAGAGACAATGACAACTGCTGATTATTTACATGTTTAGAAGTGCAGGACCTGTTGTAACTTTCATGGAGCCAGATTTCCAACTATCAGCAGCAAGATTATCAGCTTTAATTAGTGTGGCTAAGAACCAGACCACTGGACTGACCTGCAAAGCGGTCAATCACAAACTCTTCTTTTTGTGTAACATGTAGGTCCAGGCAATTAACAAACAGCAAAAACACACCTGCTGGAAACAAAGCAGTATGTCAGGAGACAGGATGGTGGGTTCAACCGACAAGGGGGACCACCAACAGCGCTGCCTTTTTATATTATTTCTACCTTTTGTTTAATAAACTATTGAGATAATCCTCAAAGATCAGACACCCAGATGTTCAGTTTTATGAACATCTCTCGTTATCACTGATTAGCATAGCTGTTTTTCTTTTCAAAGACAGTCTTGCTGTATTTTTTAGCAGGCATGGTTGCCAGATCCAGCACCAACCTCCAGCCCAAAGTTTGAACTCCTGCAGGTTATAAATCTCACAAAAAAAAGAAAATATTGATGGCATTTTAAGAGATCTAAAGAAGGTTTCAAGGGGGTCATTATAGTTTGGACGAGGAGGATGGCGTCCCCTCGCATTTCCCCTCAAATCGAGCCCTGGCTGGCAGTATATAGCTACAACTTAATTATTTAAATATTTTATAACTGAACAATTAATGTTTCAAATAAACCCCTGGGTTACTTTTAAAAACGTGGTGTTGTGAAAAAAAACCTTAGTGTTTGTCTCATTTTAAAGAGGTAATTATTGGAGGAAAAGCAGCTGTTTTCTGCTGGCCGGCATTTAGCTTGATAAAGATTTGTTTTCCAGATGGATAAAGTCTGCCATCCAGAATTGCACATACTGACATGCAAACAGCCAATTAGAATGCAATTGATAAAATCCTGATAGTTGAGGCCATCGGCTGTAGACCTATTGTGCCTCTGCCTCGCCTCATATGTGTGTTTGTGTCTGTAGGGAGTGCTGCATTGTCTTACAGAGACTGCCAAACTAGGACCACTGGCCTTCTACAAGGTAAATACACACATTTATTATAATGCCTTTATGCTTAAGGTTGATATCATATTTATTATGTATGCATTGTTTTTAACATGTGATGTAATTATCATAGAGTTGTGTTGTTACACTTGGTCAATTGGTATAATAAAGCAAGCAGCTGGTTGCTAAGAGCATAGCAGTCAATATAAAGACTAGCTTAAGAACACACATATCTCTCCATAGATCATAGATCCATAGAGAGGCAGTTTTTTTTTATTTTTTTATTTTTTTTTATTTTTAATTTAGCTTTTTAGAGCTGGGCGATATGGTAAAAATAGTAATATCACAATGCTTAAAGAAATGTTCTTAATACACGATATGTCACAATATTTATTTTTCTGTGGTCTAATAACTTGTAACAAACTTGGATGCTAGAAAGATACTTTCAAAAATTGAGTGCTGATTTATGTTGAACACTTTACATACTGCACCACACTAAATCCAGTTTAACAGGACTAATTATGCCTCTTTGTAATGAAACATTTAATAGGTCAGTGCTGAAGTGCTGCTGATACCTGTGATACTCAGAAAAGCATAGTGTGACATATTTTGATGTCATTTTTAACAATAACAATAAATATTGTCATATTGCCCAGCCCAAGCCTGTATAATCGACAATGTTGTCCTAACAAGTTTTAAGTGTAGAAATGTAACCTAATAACATAGAGCTGGCGAGCCTCTTGTAGATATGCTTGACCAATCAGAAGCAACCAAACACCCATGTGCTGTGACATCACAGCTACAGCTAACTGGCTGTCTGGTACTCTACGTTAAGCGTTCAAGCCTCAAGCAGGAAAAAGTGAATGTGCTGGCCAGAAGATTAAAGAGCCCAGGACCTTAATTTATAGAAATCACTATAGAAATCGCCCACATTTGCCATCCCCACATAGATCTACATCTACATATATACACCTAAATTGTCACAAAACAGGACTTTTCCCACACCTAGACTTCTGTTCCCTCCAGTGTGGATTATACAGTGTTTTCTGCTTATTATTTGAAATGTGCTGAAATTTCCTGTTAACAGCTAATCTTCCAATCGATCGCAGGGTTTAGTTCCGGCTGGGATCCGACTGGTTCCTCACACGGTCTTGACCTTTGTGTTCCTGGAGCAGCTGAGGAAATATTTTGGAATCAGAGTGGTCAGTTGAGTCTGCACTGTGGATGTCTGACCTTGTGACCTCTTACTGCCAACATTTCACCGCCAAGCTGCAACCTGGACTGAGCTGGAACTGAGAACGTGCCATATTACAGCTGTACATACAGTCACGACACGCACAGCTGAAACCGAGCTGTCTTACAGCTCCGTTAATACAAACACTCACCCACATTCGCTACTACATACATAGATATAGATAGATCGATAAATCCTCTACCATTGACCCCTGATTGGACACATCTGGTGTTAACGCCACTTTTGATTTTAATTTCCACATACTGTAACTGTAAATAACCTCCATTTCCTCCTAAACTGTTTTTACCTTTAAAAGTCTACAATTACTATTGTCATTTTGCTGTAGGCCGCTATATTAATGCAATTGCATAACTACATAGTAGTTATTCACGATTTGCATTCAGTTTACTGAAGTCCGAATTTCTGTTTCTGTGGTAAAAAAAAGACAAAAAAAATGTGAATAAGATTTTTTTTTTCCATCCAAAAAGTAAGACTGTATTCACAACAGTAACTTCATCAAGTTGAACCTTACAACTGCAAATTTTACGGATTGAAAGTAGAGAATCTGCAGTTTTTTTCCAAATTTCTTCACTAAAAGATGCGGTGGTGCTTCACAGGTCTCAGAGAAAGCCTGTGTTAGCCTTCACCCTCCTAGCGCTGGTGGTATCACATGACTGAGCGAGTCCTAACTAGTGGGTGGAGCTGGATATGACCAAATTGGGGAGGAAAATGTGGAAAAATCCCCCCCCCCCACAAAAAAAAAAACTTTGCTTGTTTCAATGAGCAACGTGTCAGAAACAATTTGTGGAAAACTACAGCCAGTGATAATTGAGACTTCTAAGAGTGGCAATACAGTGTTTTTCTAGAGGGAACAAGATCACACCTGAGATTTCCTTCATCAATCACATAAACATTCCCCCGCAAAACTCCCACTGTGGGACCTCCATACAAATCCATTCATCACATTCACATCCTGCATTCCACGCTGCTGATTCTTCACTATGAAGAAGTGCACACTAGCTGAAAGCAAAGGGAGCTGGGTGGCAGTGTAGACACGGCTGATTTGGGACAAGGCCAGGAGTTTTTACAATGCTTTTTAGGTTGTAGACTATAGATTATATACTGTAGGTAGTTAGTTAGAGCAGTAGACGAAAATGTAGATGAAAAACTAGATAATTCTAACTAATTTCAAGAAATTTAAGACTTTATTTTTTTTATTTTTATTTTTTTTTTAGGGACGAATGTTTGAGTGCCTTGATGAAACTGTGTACGTTAATCTGATTCTCTTCACAGTTGGGGTCAGTTCAAAGTCCAGCATGCTCCTTTTATTCAAATTCTCACCAGTAGCCCATTATCCAGGCTTTTTTCCCCTCCAACATCATTTCCTCTAGCTAATAAATTGAGTTCTTGAGCTGCTCCTGGTGAAATTGCATGGACCCCAGCAGTCCTTATGGTGCTCTATATTGTGCGCACACGTATACACATAACAGCTGGCAGCCCCGTCATTTTAAGGTACTTTATTTTGCATAACGTGTATTTACTGGAATTACTTGTTGGCTGGATTCAATCTGCCATTTAATAGAGTCCAGGTCCATAAAAAGAATTGGGTCTATGCAGATGCCAGTTTGTATGTGGGGAAAATAGTATATAATCATGAAAGGAAATTGAATGTAGTTTGTATAAGATGCACACTGACACGTTTGGACTGATGTTTTTTGCTTCTATACAGACTCATTTGCTGTATTTTCTGGGAAACAATGATGTATATCATGCAAAATGGGACACAAACACATTTCCGTGCTGTCTGTTAAGTTTGATTAGCCGAGCTGTATTTCCACTGTAATGAAATGGCTTTGCGGTCAGTGGGGTGGGCGATATGGCAAAATATGAGACATTTTCACAGTAAGACATTTTCGCAATACACAACATGAATCAAAATATTTAGTTTTTCTGAGAATCAACAAGTTGAAAGTCTAAATGAAGTCTGTAGTGCCAGATAACAAATGCTGTCAGAACAAAACCTCGTATCTCCATTTTTGGCATTTTTCAGTTTTTAGCATAATTTGAAAATGTCTGTTGCTCTTTACTTTGGGTGTAAATTTCATGATGAATGGATCACAAGAAATGACCCGAAATTCTGGTTCCATTGACTTACATTAAAAGTAGGGTATGTTTTTTGCTTCTCCTGTAAAGTTACCAATTTGGAGATATGAGGTTTTGTTCCGACAGCATTGAAATACTATAATTTGCAATGATTTGTCTTCATTGTTTTACTGACTGCACTAAATCCATTTAAACAAGCCTAATTATGTAGTTAGTCATTGTTCTTTAAGTACTGACGATGTCCATGATATGCTCAGAAAGCGTATTGTGCCATAATTTATCACAATACTGATAAAATATTGTCATATTGCCCACCCCTAGCGGTCAGATTGTGAACTTTGAGTTTATTCCTGAGGTGGAGGATGCTGTAATATTTATTTTCATTGTAGTTTTATTCTAGTTGCTTGTAGATGATTTGATGCCGCTGTAGTGAACTGCACTACTGAATGACTCTATGAATTGTTTGTCATTTTAGAATGTCTAATGAATGAAACTCTACAGTTTTTAATCTCATTCTGTGATGTTTGATGCATGATACTGGCCTTATCTAACTGAAGCCTGAAGAGGGCGCTGTGTGGTTGTCAGATTACACGTCGACTGATTGTACACTATGTTCAAAAGTTTGGGGTCAGTGTTTTCTATAATATAAAATCCATTTAGTTTTGGGAGTCGTGTACAACTTCAGCCTTTTACAGAAAATTTCTATTATCTGTAATCTGTAAATAAATATGAAATGATGAACAGACCTGTAGATGACTGTACAATGATAAAGCTGCATAACAACGAGAATTAAATTCTATAGACATTTACACAGAATTTGTCATTGTTCAATGTGGGAGATCAAATCTTGAAGCAGATAATAGAATTGTGTGTAAATAGAAAAATACAGTATATTAATTAAAGTTAGTAACGTTTCTGTTCACACAGTTTCTGAAATACTGAATGAAGCTGAAAGTACCTTTTGGTTAAGTAATATTTAACGTTAGAATGTGTAGGTTGTTATTGAATATATATATAAAAAAAGTAATTAACATGACATTTTTAAATGTTGTGGTCATATACTTTACTGTAGAAAAGTTTGAAGTCACTTGTCACAAAGGCCACGTAAAAACTATTTATTAAATAAATAAAAGGGTTTTTTTTTGTCAGGGGGAAAAAGTTATCGTCATTAGTTATTCATTTGAAAATGGTAAATAATATACTGTAACTACTAATAGAAGTATTTGATATTTTATTCTGCCTCATGACAATCTCTTTTGGAATAGTAATAGTTAATGTATAAGAACTGCATTTTGGATGTTCATTTTCATTATATTTTTATTCTGGATGTTATTTTTTTATCACTTCAATTTGGATGTTTACAGCAAATTTCCAGTAAGCAAAAAGAACAGTGGGAATCTGCAAATAAATATGAAAAGATAAACAGACCTGTAGATGATTTCTGAAATTACAAATTATAATGACATTAACATGGAGAATTTGTCATTTTTCAACGTTGGAGATCAAATCCTGAAGCAGATAATGTGACACAATGTCTGTAAATAGATAATCACAGTATATTTTTTAGAAGTTAGTAATGTTTCTGTTCACACAGTTCCTGGAATATTGAGGAAAATAACTGTTGCTATAGGCTATATATATACATTTTGACAATTTGAAAATGGTAAAAAAAAAATACTGTAACTACTTAAAGAAATATTTAATATTTTGTCTGCTTTAATATTTGATCACCACTTTATTAGAACTTCGTTCTTGGTATTATTTTTATTAGAATGTTATTCTGCATGTTAATGTTATTAGAACTTCATTCTTGATGCTCTGCAGTTTTCTCAGTCTCTTGATAGCCCTTTACAGCTCTGTTCATCATTCTAACATTTCTTCATCTGTATCTACATCTTCTCAGTCATTACTGTAAAGCTGTGAAGTTGTGCTAGACAAACATATTAGAACTGTTTTGTACGCGTATCTGAAACAGAGCTGGGTTTTCTATGCTATAAAGCAGTGACTCCAGTCTAATGAACAGTAATGTATGTGTGGGTGTGAGAGGCGCTGTGATGAATGTGTGTGTTAGGATGTCACAGCCTTTAGAACAGTAGATCATGTGATCAGGGCAGGTTTACTTTTCACTGGAATAACACTGAGGCTTTTGTGTGAACAGTTGTCTGATGACTTTGTTTTGTCTAAAATGATGAATATGTTTTGGAAATTGAAGACTAACATGGAAGAAATGAACTTCAGATTGTTGTGCTTTTTTGATGTGGAGTGTCTGTTTCATATTTACACACACAGAAAGACTTTTATTCATAGAGTTGAATAAATATTGAAATATTGAATATATACAGTTGTATGCAGAAGTTTGGGCATCCTTGGTGAAATTCTGTGTATTTGTTGATTTTCTCAGTGTAATTAAATTAGACATCCTCTACAGAGAACACACTTCTGCACATTTTAATACACAATTACTGTTTACTTACTGGATTTAACATAGAACATAACATCTGGCCTGTGCAAAAGTTATGGCACATTATATTTTGTTTTATTTTCTTCTAATTTGGCAAATAAACTGAAACGTTTGCAGGAAAATGTCATATTTAAATGCCATATTCAGCTTTTTCATATGACTGTTTAATGACTGTAAGAAAATCTGATAAGAACTGAGCTACTGTGGTTTCCATTTGCAGAATTGTCTGAAATTTCAATGAACATAAAATGAGAGTAAATGGTCAGCAGGTTCTTGGTATTTCTGTAGCTACCATTCAAAAGTTCAGTGTTTTTTTTCTTTTGTAGCTATCATTATAATAAGCTATAATTGAGAACATTTTACTTTCAAATTTCAGTCATCCACTTAACAGTGTTGGGAAGAAACAAATTCCATGTAATCTGATTACAAAAATGAAGACCATGTAATCGGAATAGGATACATTTGAAAACACGAAAAATCAAATTATAGTTGCTTTTTATTGATTTGTATCTTTAGGATTACAGTTTTATGAGGCACCATCAAAAATCTGTCTGTTAAAATATTTAATTTATTGGATATGTCAATGAACTGCATAATAGCTGTGGGACTGTGACTTCTAACAACAGTTCCATGTTGTTTTGGGAGAAAGAAGGAAGGAGAAGGGCATGTCTGTGCTGGATCTGAACTTTATCAGTTTACTGATTGTGAAACCCAACAAACCAGTTTCATCAAAAATAGTTCACAAGTGATCAGGTTACATATTACACTTTTTAAAGGACGAGAATTTGTCTGCAGCTGCTGTGATTTAGATAGACAGACAGACAGAGAGACAGGCGGACAGAGAGACAGGCAGACAGACAGAC